CAAAAAAAAACAAACAAACAAAAAAAAAGAGGCAGAAAAAGATGGTTGCAACTTCAGTTGGCTGCAGAGTATCTACAAAGGGATTAAAGATAGGGAAGCAAGCTTCTTTACTAAAATTAGTAACGTATATTTAATATATTAGGTTTACCAGCCTAAACCAATTGAGCTAATTTATTTTTCAAATAATGAGGGGTTATATTGTGATCTACAAGGTAAATAATCTGAAAATATGTATGCATGAAGTATACTCCCTGGCCTTTTTGGTTTTTTAAGGGTTATGAAAAAGAAAAGGGAAAAAGTGGAAAATGGCCCAATCACTTTCCTAGAGTTCCTAGTCAAATTAGCAAATCCTTGGGAGAAAAGAAAAGCATGGTGGATGTATGGTGGGATAGGAAAAGACATGCTTTCTGGATGTAGATATGAATCTGTGAATCCACAAGACATTCAAAGGCAGCATTTGAATGTCTCACAGATTAACAGATTTTAACAATTCTCCCAAATTAAGTCCATATCTCTCTACCATTTGCCCCCCACAAACTTTCTAACTTCTACCTCAGCGTAACTGCTGGCTACACTGATGTATTTACTGGTCACTGTATGTAGCATGCCCTTCATGCCAACCTGGCTTGGAACATTCTGCCCTTCCCTTCTGTGTGATGAACTATTGCTCATCTCTTCAACTGGAGACCAAGCTTTGCTGTCTATTGGAAACACTCCCTGACTCCCACAGAAGGCCTAGATGTTTCTTCACCCATGATTGCTACACTGCATTTTACAAAGCACTTAGAAAACAATGATACACTCTTTTTTCTTCTGTCTTTATGTCTCCCTATAAAATATTTAAAAGTCATTGGATAATTTGCAACTGGCTACAAGAACCAAAAATAATGAAAATATTAAAATAATGGTTTAGGTCTTCATCATTACCAAAGGTTACTCTCTTTCTAAAAATCCCTCCTCAGTTCCTGAACAATTTATAACCAATTAAATAAATAGAGCATACAATATGTGCCAGATTGATACCAAGAAAATGGCCCCTATTCTTTTTTCTTAAGTCTTTATTGAAATTCTAGTTAACATATAATATAATATTGGAAAATGGCCCCAATTCTTCAACCCTACCCATGCCTTCTCACTCTTTGCAACCTAACTTTGGAATTTGTCCCTTTGAAACTGGACTGACTTGTGACTTGCCTTAGCCCTTAGGTGCTTACTCTACCATGTCTGGAAGCTCTGCCCAGAAGGAGAAATGAGCCCAGGCTAAACTTCTGGAGCATAAGGAGCCATGTGTTGCTGCACAAAGTGCATTAAGCCCAGATTGGGTCTTCCCAGGCCTGTCAGCTCCCACAAATCCAGTCATGGATGCATGACCAACCCAGTCCAATCATAAAACCATCAAGTGAAAGTAGGCACGTGGGATATACTGTTTATTGTTGGGGGCCACTAAATTTGGGGGTGATTTATTACTCAGCAACAGTTAACTGACACAAAACCATACAGAATTTTAAAACGAAAAGAAAAATATCCCCTTACCTTAGAATAGGGAACAAATGCAGCAAAGATCAAAATTGTAAATATTTAAATATTTTATATAGAATAACAGATAAAAGAATCAATATAAACCGGTATCTAAACTAGGTTAAAAATCATATATTCTTTTTTATGGGGTATTTTTGTCATATTATTTTGTGAAAAACAGTTATCACTACATCAGGGTTTTGTAGTCACATAAAAATAATTAAATGTCATAATAAAAGTACTTTATTCATAAGAACATAAGCACTTATATCAATATCCCAATTTTTATATTGCTATCCAGAATCCAGTTTTCTTGTAAAGTTATATTTAGACTCACAAAAATGATTGAAAATGTATTTTCCTCATTTGATTGCCATTACTAAAAGTGAGAACTAAAACATTAGCATCAATCTGCTACTTCATTCTATCTTTTCTTTTTAATCTCTTGAATGAATGGCTTGTTCAGATCAATATCCATGATTTATAAAGCTATTTCATTATCTGTAGTATTATTTGAAGATTAATAATCCTATTAAAATACTAGTATCTAGAAATAAAGGTGTGGAAAAATCAGTTTGTCTTAGACATAAACGTCACCACGCATAGCTAAAAACAGTTCCATTTGGATCATGTTTTCTATCTCACAGACTATAAAAGTCACATTTACTTTTACTGTATAGGGACTTCAATATTAATTTGATTAATTCCCTGCATAAGTCTTTTGTTTTTTAAATATATCATAATGTGTCTTTTCTTCTTTTTCCTAAAGAGAAGGCAGAGATTCAAGGGCCTTGGCAAAGTTTTTTAAGATTGGAAAATTTTAAAAGTATAAGGATTTCAAACTAGGTATTTCTGTTTAATAATATATATGTCGTAGATAGAATTTGGAAAACTCAAAACCATGTATGAAAGAAAAAAATGTGTAACTACAGAAAATTTTACACTGCATTTAAGTTATTCTTTTTTTAATTTTTTTAAATTTTTTGTTATGTTCAGCTAGCCACCATTTAGTACATCATTAGTTTTTGATGTAGCATTCAATGATTCATTAGTTGCGTAAAACACCCAGTGCTCATCACCACTTGTGCCCTCCTTAATACCCATCACCCAGTTATCTCATCCCCCCACCCCCTCCCTTCTGTAACCCTCAGTTTGGTTCCCAGAGTCCAGAGTTTCTCATGGTTTGTCTCGCTCTCTAATTTCTTCCCATTCAGTTTTCCCTCCCTTCCCCTGTGGTCCTCCACACTATTCCTTATGTTCCACATATGAGTGAAACCATATGATAATCGTTTTTCTCTGCTTGACTTAATTCACTTAGCATAATCCCCTCCAGTTCCATCCATGTCGATGCAAATGGTATTCATCCTTTCTGATGGCTGAATAACATTCCACTGTATATATGAACCACATCTTCTTTATCCATTCATCTGTTGAAGGGCATCTCAGCTCCTTCCGCAGTTTGGCTATTGTGGACATTGCTGCTATGAACATTGGGGTGCATATGGCCCTTCTTTTCACTACATCTGTATCTTTGGGATAAATACCTAGTAGTGCAATTGCTGGGTCATAGGGTAGCTCTATTTTTAACATCTTGAGGAACCTCCATACAGTTTTCCAAAGTGGCTGTACCAACTTGCATTCCCACCAACAGTGTAAGAAGGTTGTCCTTTCTCCACAACCTCTCCAACATTTGTTGTTTCTTGCCTTGTGAATTTTTGCCATTCTAACTGGTGTAAGGTGGTATCTCAATGTGGTTTTGATTTGTATTTCCCTGATGGCTAATGATGGTGAACATTTTTTCATGTGTCTGTTAGCCATTTGTATGTCTTCTTTTGAGAAGTGTCTGCTCATGTTTTCTGCCCATTTATTGAACATAAGCACTTATATCAATATCCCATTTTTTGTTTTTTGGGTGTTGTTTGAGAAGTTCTTTATAGATCTTGGATACCAACCCTTTATCTGTAATGTCATTTGCAAATAATCTCCCATTCTGTGGGTTGCCTCTTAGCTTTGTTGACTCTTTCCATTGCTGTGCAGAAGTTTTTTATCTTGATGAAGTCCCTATAGTTCATTTTGCTTTTGTTTCCCTTGCCTTTGGAGACATGTCTTGAAAGAAGTCGTTGTAGCCAATCTTGAAGAGGTTATTGCCTAAGTTTTTTTTTTTTTTTAAGATTTTATTCATTTATTTGAGAGAGGGAGTGAGTGGGAGCAGGGGCAGGGGCACAGGGGAGGGAGAAGGAGAGGGAGAGAATCTCAAGTGGATTCAGAGCTCGATGAGGGGCTTGATCTCATGACCCTGAGATCATGACCTGAGCTGAAGCCAAGAGTCGGATGCTTAACCAACTGAGCCACCCATGTGCCCCCTCATTTAAGTTATTCTTAAGGCTTCAATCACAGACTGCAATGATATCACTTATCTGTGCGATCTAAAAAAGCTGAACTCATAGAAACAGAGTGGAATGGTGGTTACCAGGGGCTGGGGGAGGAGGAAGTGGGGAGATGTTGTTTAAGAATACAAACTTGCAACTAGTAGATAAATAAGTTCTGGAGATCTAATGCACAGCTTGGTGATTATAATCAATAATACTGTATTATAAATTTCAAAGTCACTAAGAGACCAGATCTTAATGGTTTTCACCAGAAAAAAAGAAATGATAATTATATGATGTGATGGAGATGTTTGTTAATGCTAAGGTAGTAATCATATTGCAATACATAAATATATCATATCAACACCTTGTACACCTTAAATTTACACAGTGTTTTATGTCAATTATATCTCAATTTTAAAAATTGTCAGTCCAGCTCTGATCTCTTTACTGAGCTTTAAAAGCAAGTATCTAATTATCCACCAGACATGTCAATTTGAATACACTACAGATCAAACAAACCAAACCTTCCTCTTCCCCACAAGCCTTATTCTGTGACCAACATCATGATTCTTTGTTCAAACCACAAACCTGGGCAGTAGCCTTGATTCTTGTTTTCATCAGAGTCTACCTTCTCTGTTTGAAGTCCTGCTATGTCTATTTCTTAAATACTTCTCAAACTTGTTTGATTCACAATTTCATTAATCCAATTTAGGCTAAAATCATATCAACCAAAACTCAAGCCACAATTCTCCAAATGGCCAGTGGACTTTTATTATTGATAATCTGAATCCCATCATTTGCCGATCAGGGGATTAAGTGTCTTAACAAAATCCACAAAGTCCTGCATGTTCCAGGTCCTGATAAACTCTTAACTCTCTGGACACAGTGTACTGAGCTGCTTGCAAGTTCCATAATTCTCTCTCCCCTTGGAGATCTTGAAAATTCAATTTCTTCCTCGTGGAACACTCTCACATAGCCCTCCTTTCCTTGCATAAATCCAACTTGTTTCCAGACACCTTGCCCTCCAGGAAGATTGGAGATGGACCCTCACGTTGTCCCCAGAGCCTCCTGTTTTTTTCCCATCACATCCCCACTCTATTGCTTCCTTACCTCTGTCTCCCGTTAGGTCCAAGAGACTACAACTTCTTCTCATCCAGCCTGGTAATATCTCTAATGCTCAGCATTAAAGCCAGTTCCTGGCTCAGAATGAAAGAAAAAAAAACAAATTGAATAAATCAAATAATGAATTAAAAACTTATAATAATTTAAGTGGATAACCCTGATTTGTTCACCACTCATCCCATTTCCAAGGTGGATTTGTTAAATTGAGTATTTTTCTTAAAAACCTTACAAGATGAAGTACTGAATCAACTGAGACGGGAGATTGTTATAGTAAGTAGAAAGAATGCTGAATTAAGTCAGGATAGAGGAGACCCAGTTTTGAAATATATTTATACCTGTGAAACCATAACTGCAATCAAGATGGTGAACATGCCCAAAACTTGCCAAATTGTACACTTAAAGTAGTGTAGTTCAGTGTATGTCATTTACACTTCAATAAGCTTTTTTTTTTTTTAATGAGTAGCATTAAATTGGTCAAGGGAAAACAGTGACAATATAGGAGCTTTAAACATAACGCCTTAACATGTAACATGTGCATTCATTCACAGATGGTAGCTTTTGCTGTAAGGCAAAAGAGAGATAATCATATGATAGCAGCATAACAGGAGAGTTGAATTATTAAAAATACCACTCACCTGGATTGGTTACATGGTATGCTTCTTTCCACCATAGACTCTTCCATCCATCCTCTCCTGTAAAACATCATATAAACACAGAGAGAAGACACTTCACATTTTCTTTGCTACCAGTGAGTAAGTTGTAAGCCACTCCATGTGGTCATTTTTGCATTCTGTTAAAATTGATTAAAAATAAGGAAATAGGGCGCCTGGGTGGCTCAGTTGGTTAAGCGACTGCCTTCAGCTCAGGTCATGATCCCAGGGTCCTGGGATCGAGTCCCGCATCGGGCTCCCTGCTCTGCGGGGAGCCTGCTTCTCCCTCTCCCACTCCCCCTGCTTGTGTTCCCTCTCTCGCTGTGTCTCTCTCTGTCAAATAAATAAATAAAATCTTTTAAAAATAAATAAATAAATAAATAAATAAATAAATAAATAAATAAATAAATAAATAAATAAATAAATAATAAAAATAAGGAAATAGTAAAATTGCACGTTAGACTTTTGGAACTGGAGAGTACCTTACAGAATTTGGTTCATATTCCTAATATTGCAGATGAGCAATCTGAGATCCAGAAAATTGTCTGAGCTCTAAAAGGCCACACAGTGGGCACTTGGAAATAGCATTCATATCACCCATTTAAAAATCCCCCAGTAGAGGGGCACCTGGCTGGCTCAGTCAGTAGCGCATGCCACTCTTGACCTTGGGGTTGTACGTTTGAGCCCCATGTTGGGTATAGGGATTACTTAAAGAAATAAAATCTTTCAAAAAAACAAATTCCCCAGTAGAACACATTGCCAGAGGTCTTTTTTTTTTCTGAGTAGTTTTTTTGATACAATTTATTATTTAATCAAATTCTGTATCAGTCATCTTCTCCAAAAAAGAATACAAATAATATGTCACCTGAGGAACTTCATTCTATCCACTTAGGCAAAAATTAAGGCTACTCCTCACTGCGTACATCCATTTTCACCACTGCCTTACAGTTTCTTTCAGGCCCACCAAAAGAATTATCCTGCTGAACTTTTCTTCTTCTCTAAATGTCTAAATTATTATATTTACATGGTAGGTGATTGGCCAAAATAAATCTACGTAATGAAATTTTGGATTCAGAGAAGTCTATCTGAGAAATCCACATTTTTACTGAAACATTTAGAGAAAAGCAGCCACAGAAGACCATCTCAGTATTATATTTCCTGTCAGCACTCTGAAAGATTACTTATTACCAACTACTTATTTTAGGCCTGAGCACTGAGATTATGGTTCGTTTAAAGATAAAACGTTTGAAGCGTTGGTGGTATAGTGGTTAGCATAGCTGCCTTCCAAAGTTAAAACGTTTACAGTGGCTCACCATAAAGTTGCAATATATAAGCTTTCCATCGCTAGGCAATATTCTTCTATGGTAGTAGAATATCTGCCAGCAAAAAAAGTTTTTGCATTAATCATTGCCTTGACTCTTTCATTTTTACGAGCACTAAGCTACGTTTTATAAGACTGAAAGGCATCTCAAAGAATGAAAATGCTGTTGGCTGCTTTGCTGACTGATCTTGTTTCCTTATTTATAAAATCATAAAAATAAGTCATTTTCTTTTTTTCTTTCCTTTTTTTTTGGGGGGGGGAGGGGTGGTGGTTATTGTTGTAGTGATTATTGCTTTGGCCAAGTAGGGAGAAAAGATGGACAAAGAGAAAACATGAAAGATTGTTTTTCTTTTTCCAGTTACCTGGAGAGATGCATAAGGCATTCCATAAAGTATTTATGCTATGATTCTAATGAAATTACAGCCCTAGATAAAGTGACTAATTGTCAGAGTTGTCTTTTACACAAAGCAGCTATTGTATTAATAGTTTTTAATTATATTATTATGGCTACTATCTTTCAATTAAGTTATGCAAAAAATACAACAATGCGAGTTTAGCAATATCTAGAAGGATACAATGTGGTCTCTGTTACCCACTAGAAATGACCACTCATAGTACCCTTCCACATCTGAGCATCCCACTCAAAACGTGAAGATTTGATTCAGCTCAATGATTCATGAATTCACACAATCTGCTTGTTTCCATTAAGCACAAAACTGGTCTGTTTTAGTTCTGATAGGGCTTAAAACGCTAACTCGCATATAGCCAAATTACATAGCATGCCCTTACCAAACACACACTTCCCATTAATCAGGATTCTACTTGAAGACCATAAACAAAACTAGCTAGACTGCTCATGGGACATCTGTGTATATATTACATGAGTGTAGCTCAGCACATTTTCACAAAGCAAACACACCCATGAATCCAGCACCCAGATCCCAGACCGAGAACAGACATCACAATTCCAGATACATACCTCCCCTTTTGGGCATGACTCGCACCCACTGGGCAACCACTAGCCTGACTTCCAAGACTTTTGTAAGCATTGTGTGATCTTGACTTATTCGTAAATGGAATCGTTCCATTTTTGGAATGTTCACTATTCAATGGAATGTTCACTTCTGTGTTTAGCTCCTTTTGCTCAACATTAGGTTGATGATATTTATTTATCTTGGTGTGGGTAGTTGCAGTACATTCTCATTGCTAATTAGTATTTTAATTGGGCAGGCTTTCTAAGAGTTGAAAATCAATGTAGTTTTTATATGGTCAATATATTTTGTTCTATATGAATATATTATGTGACAATGTAGATGTATCTGCCAATTGGCAAGTTTTTAAAATAAAAATAAAAATTTATTATGTTTTCCCCTAGGTACCACTCTTTTCTTACAATGTTTTCCCTTTGTCTTTTGATTAGCTAGAGAGAATTATAGACGAAAATGTAGCTTGAGAGAAAAAATAGGAAATATCTGTTAACCATCCTCCACAGTAAATGTTAAAATCGCTATATACAAAATAATTACTTTTCAAATTTTAACATTCCCTGGTTTGCATTATGTCTACTCTCTTCAGTGTAAGGAGGTTTTACATCTTATATTTGCATCATGCTTGAGAATAAAGCATTTTTATATTTTTTTTTCATTTATATTCCACAGAACTCTGTTAGAAAGGGCAGTTATCTCTTGAGTACCTCTTATGTCTTGTACAACACTAACTATGGTGTGATATTTTTTAAAAGAAAACATCAACAGCCACAGAATGATATTATCATGGTTATTGTGCTTCAAGAAAATAGTTTGGGAGCTGAATATGACCAAGGCTCCTGGAAGTGCAGGGTAAGAGGAGAAAGTACTCACACTGGGAGAAAGCAACGGTCCTGTTTTCATAATACCTTTAATTCCCTTTCTCCATTTTGAGAGTGTCATTTTCACCTACCAGCTTTTCTTATCCCCCCTCTTCTCACCAAAGTAGGACTTTGAGGTTGAATTTGAACTTGATGCGAGTAGAAGAGGACCTATCAAGTTAGAAAGCTGTAGAGGGCGCCTGGGTGGCTCAGTCGGTTAAGCGACTGCCTTCGCCTCAGGTCACGATCCCGGAGTCCCGGGATCGAGTCCCGCATCGGGCTCCCTGCTCGGCGGGGAGTCTGCTTCTCCCTCTGACCCTCCCCCCCTCTCATGTGCTTTCTCTCTCTCTCATTCTTTCTCTCAAATAAATAAATAAAACCTTTTAAAATAAATAAATAAATAAATAAATAAATAAATAAATAAATAAATAAATAAATAAATAGCTGTAGAAAGCACCCAGAGATAAATTTTTCAAAGGTAAATATCTCTTAGCTGGTAGCAAAGAGCCACATCCTCATCTGGGAGGGCTAGTCCTGGCCCCATACAGATCCACAGAGGCAGGAAGTCCTTAGAAGAGTGAGCTCTCAAAGCAATTGGTTGGGTTGTCAACATGTAAGAGTCTGAAGACAAGTCGTATGTTTTAGCCATGACAAATGGGAATCATGAATCCTTCTATAGGCTGTTCAAAGTTTGTGAGAAGAGAGGACCAAGAGGGAGAATGTCAGGACCAACATCCTAAAGGACATCATGCAGGGAAACATGGATATGATGTATATAACAGGCAAATGTCACCCAGTCACTGACTATTACAATGAACAAAGCAGGGACACAACCACAAGGTAAAATCAGCTGCAGGTGGATGGATATTCAGAATTTCAGCTTTAGAAATTCTGGTTTTCACCTGAATTATTTAGCTCTTATTCTAGGATTCCTTGTACTTCTGCCGGCTGGGGATGTAGTTGGCCTTGGGTCTGCATACCACTGATGCAAGGCTTACAGCATTTGATAGTCAGTGTTGGAGGGATGAGCTTAGCATAACATCACTCAACTGTTCTTTCCCTACCTTCCTCTTCGTAAAACTGGAAGGTTGAGTAAGAATATCTCTAAGGTATTTTGGTCGGCAATTCTCAATTTTTTCATCTTTTTATCATTTTCTCACATAATCTTTTTAGAGGTTAGCACTTCTTAAGGTCATCTCCACCATATGATTCTGAAAAGTCAGACTCATTGAAATAGCAGAATTAATCTTGCCATAAAAATAGACAGAGGTCAGCACAGTATCTAAAGCCAAAAGGAAAAAGCAGGGGAGCCTGTGATGAGAAAATTCTGCTCGACCTCACCTTTCTATTTCCTTTGGCTTTGGCTTTTATTGGATGCTATATTTCTGGAGGAACCATTCCCATTTGCTGCAGGTAAATGGTTGTGTTCTGAATTTATTGAGACAAGCAGCAGAAGGTCAAGGTATAGGCCAAGGGTAACTAAAACAGGGAAAGAGAACATTTGAGAATGATGTAGACAAATGCGAACTTCATGGATTAGTCATGTGTTGGCTGGAAAGTGGTAAGCATTTGCAGAAAAATATAACAGGCCTGATTTTAAACAGATAGAACAAAGGAAAACGCTGAGCCCATTTATTTTTTTCATTTCCTCCATTCCCGAAATTGTCCTGGGTTGCGACAAATAATTCTGACAAATGAAAGTCCTTAAAATTATAAAGCATTGCCTATGGAATTTTTGTATTAGTCATATACTTAACTAGTTTTTAAGAGGAAAAAAGCCTGTAATTTACATAATACAAATTCAGTCTCTGGATTTTTAAGAAACATGTAGGTAGCTGTTCTAACCAGATGATAACTTTTTTTTTTCCCCTAATGTAAATGGTCAAAGATATCTTACATTCAAAAAAAAAGAAGAAGATAGCAGGAAGGGAAGAATGAAGGGGGGGAAATCGGAGGGGGAGACGAACCATGAGAGACTATGGACTCTGAGAAACAAACTGAGGCTTCTGGAGGGGAGTGGGGTGGGGGGATGGGTTAGCCTGGTGATGGGTATTAAAGAGGGCACGTTCTGCATGGAGCACTGGGTGTTATATGCAAACAATGAATCATGGAACACTACATCAAAAACTAATGATGTAATGTATGGTGATTAACATAAAATAATTTTAAAAAAGAAAGAAAAAATAAAAATAACCATCTGAATGGGTTAACTGAGCACAGATGTTCTTATGAAAAATAAATAAAAAGGAAATGAGAAGCTGTAAATCTTATACTGTTTCCTTTACAACAAATAGATTCTGTTATCACAGATTAAATAGTTTAGGAATGTTTTCCTTCTTAATAAATATTAAAAGCACTAAATTAGAATCCTCTTTTAATATAGCCCTATCTAGGACATGATACTATTTCTCCTAGGTTCCAAGTTGGTCAAAACAAGAAGTCTAATAAATAGCTTTTAGTTAATAGCCAAATAAACTTCTGAATATGAGTTCAGAATTTAAGTGAGATGCTCTTACAAATGTATATATAAGTATTTAACTTGGTCATTACCTGCTAAAAGAATGCAGTTCATATGTGTGTGTAAAGCAAGGGGATACTGTTGAAGAAAAGCAAAGTTTTCTTTAATTAAACTTTTTTATTTTGAGATAACTATGATTCACATGCAATGGTAAATACTAATACAGAGACATCTCATGTACCCTTTACCAGCTCCTTCCAATAGTAACATCTGGCAAAACTAAAATATTAATTATCACAACCATTATGCTGACATTGATGCAATCCACAGATCTTGTTCAAATTTTCATTGTATTTGTGTTTGTGTGTATTTAGTTCTGGTCAGTTTTATCACACATGTAGGTTTGTGTATCTACCACCACAGTCAAGATACAGAATACTTCCATCATCATATGGATCCCTCATGTTGCTCTTTTATAACTGCAAATCATTTTTCATCCCCCAAATGACAGGAGTCAAAATGAAAATGAAAGAAAAAGATTTTAAGGAAATTGGAAAAGATAAGAAAATATGAATGGGATTAGTAAGACACAAAAGAAGATAACAAGAAACACAGATAATGAATGCCTTGGCCTGGTTTTCTCCCAGAAAGCAGAGCCTGGAACAAAAACTCATATATAAGGCATTCATTCTGGAAATTGATACCAAGGAATCAAAATAAGATATTGGGAAGACTAAGACATAGAAGGTGGAAAAGTTAATTTAGTTGTCTGTCTTTGGAGCTGATCACCATTGAGTCTGGTGGAGTTTGATCCTGCTGGGACACATTGAGGAATGATGTAGAATGCACCCTAGAATTCATTAACAATGGAACAGAAAGGTGAGCCCTCCACTGGCCAAAGTCTGGTTCATAGGGCATTACCTCCTTCATACTTCAAGATACTCACATGGGTCAGAGCCAAGCTGGATCCTATGGAGAGCCCACGCTGCAGCATCTCAGAAGGTCCAGGACAGACCCTTATTGACACATGGTGCAGCTGATAAAGATGCAGTAGAGTTATCTTTGTGAAGCCGGTTGATAGAGTGAAGGATGCAGTATATGGTGGACTGAGCAGAAGTGGGATAGCACACAAGAAGTGTCTGACATCCTGAGTTTCATGGATGAAACAAGAGAACCACTGCTTAGTTATAAGCAAACTCCTCTCAGATGAGGTGCCTGATCAAACTTTTATTGCTTACCATCAAGGGCCTTGGGAAGGCTCCAATAAATTCCTTTGAACTGTCTTCCTTAAGCAATTGTTCCAGTGGACTTTACTATAGATTCTCCTTTCTGGAAAGACATCAAAATGAAATGATTAGAAGTGAATAAGTATGAAGCTCTGTTTTGTTCAGTAGTTTGTAAAATGCTTTTAAAAAGACCAATAGATTTTTAACGGAGGACAAAGAAGATAGAATTGATTTCAAAATCTTCTTGAAGTCAAACTAAATTATTAGTCTCCTCTGTCACTGAATAATTTAAATTATTTGGCTTTATGTTTTTGCCTAACAAACAACTATAATGAGACCCCAAATATACAATTATTATTAAACTAAATGAAATCAAATTTAAGATTATCAAGTGGCTGGTTGGTTGGGCATGAATTTTAAGGCCCTGTAGGACAAATATCCCACAGTGTAAACTAAAACTATGCTGAATTAATTACTTTGGTGGTGGTTGGGATGGAGAGGGGTTGTTTGTGCTAAGGTCAGACAGAGGTAACTGACTGAGGGTTTAGCTTGATATATTCAATCAGTTAGTTCTGGCCCTTGAAGTCAGTTAAAGTATCAGACTATTTTTGAGCATAATATAATTTCAAAGCCTTCAGAGTGAAAATACTACCAGACTGAAGTTTCTCTGTACTATTTTCATGCTCTGATCATAAGTTCTTCCTTATTTCCAAGTAGTATGAATAGACTGATAAGTAGGTGACCATATAACTTCTCGTTGCCCTGGATCCTTTAGAGGGTAAAGAGGGGACCATATCTAGTTTTTCTAAGTAAACAACTGTTAATTGGGACCATTTTGGGTTCACTAAATGTGTGGTCGTCCTATTTACAAAGGCTCTGGGAGAATCTTTAAAAGCAGCTCTCTTGTTTGTTTTTCCTAAGCCATAAGAGAAGTAATAATCATAATAATGACCATTATTAACAATGGTATTGATGGTTGAAAACTAGGAGATGCTGAGTTAGATGTTGAGTTGACAGATGCTGGTAACAAATAATTAAAAATAAAAGTAAAATGAACATTATTTACCTGGGTAATATTGAATATTCATAAGGTTCTTGGGAACCTCAAAGAAACTGCAAGACTGCCTCACTGGAACCTTCTCTCATTCAAACCAAAGTAGCCTGAGTGTCAAGTACTCAGACAAAGCAAGGACCTAAGAGCCAATGAGTCAAAAAAATTGAGAGACCTTGGGATTCCTGAAGAAATGAAAAGCTATAGCATTATGCTTTCTGACCCGGGATCCTTCTGATCACCAGAACCTTAGACAGTAGGGTTCAGAGACCAAAGAACTCACAGTTCAGGATCAAATAACTAGGGTGCTGAACTAGGGCACTGCTCAAGGAACACACTCTTGCTCAAGGCTAAGACATGTGAGTTTCCTGAACAGCCCACTAATTTGGTGCTTTTTTACTATTACTATTGTGGGGCGGGGGGGGGGGGGCAGGTAGCAAAAGCAAAACAAAAAAACACATAACATGAGATTTACTCTATTAACAAAATTTTAAGTGTCCAGTACAGTATTGTTAACTATAAGCACAATGTTATATATCATATCTCTAGAACTTTCTTATCTTGCATGACTGAAACTCCATTACCACTGAATAGCACCTCCCCATTATTCTTCCTCACAACCCCCAAGAACCACTATTTTTATTTCGTTTCATTTTATTTTCTGTTACTTTAGATACCCTATTTATAGACTGTTTCAAAAATATTGTTCAATGGTTGTTTAGAATGAAAACTGAATGAATAATTGAAGAAGGACAAAGAAAGAGGAACCTCCTGTTCTCTGCCTGTCTCGCTGTGGTAGACTGAATAACCAACCCCCAAGTGTCTTAAACCCACAACTTGTGAATATGTTCTTTTACATGGCAAAAGGCACTTAGCAGACCTCTCTCTAAGTTAAAGATTTTAAGATTATCCTGAATTATTCAGACCGGCTCAGTGTAATCACAATAGAATTAGATTATAAGAGAGAAGCAGGAGTGGCAGGCAGAGAACATGATGTAACAATGGGAGGGAAGATGTGGTAACAGAACAAAGGTTGGAATGAGTCCATTGCTGGCCTTTAGAAATTGGAAAGGGCAAGGAAGTAGATTGTCCTCCAGACATAATGCAGCCCTGCCAACCAATTTTAAACGTCTGATGTCCAGAACAAGATACCAAATCTGTGGGACGCCTGCGTGGCCCAGTCGTTAAGTGTCTGCCTTTGGCTCAGGTCGTGATCCCAGGGTCCTGGGATCGAGTCCTGCATCAGGCTCCCCCCTCAGCAGGAGCCTGCTTCTCCCTCTGCCTGTTGCTGCCCTGCTCATGCTCTCTCTCCTTCTGTCTCTCTCTCTAACAAATAATTAAATAAAATCTTTTAAAAAAAAAAGATACCAAATCTGTGTTATTTGAAGTCATCCAGTGTGTGGTCATTTGTTACAGCAACATGAATGGCAGCAAACTAATATAGAGACTGGCCCCAAGTTTGAAAACCTCACTCAACAAAACTAAGCATCTGCAGTTACCAGGATTCACCTCTTGAAAAGGTGATATAGCATCTTCACCTCACCTGAGCCCTCTGGTCTTACCAGGTGAGATCCGGTGAGACTACTGACCTCTCTACATTATCAAGGTCGACACCATTAAATGTACAGACTTCTCATGAAAAGAGTGATGTCAAACACATTTTCTATTTCTCCCGACATTTCCAGTGATATTTTAGAGCCCAGTTATGCTTTCATGTCCCCAGAAAACAGCCAATGCCAGGTTGATCTGACCCTTAATCTTCCAGGGTTGGAAAATTGTAGGGTAGCCTACACTGCCAGCCAGAGTATTTTTTTTCTTTTCTTTCTAGTTTATGACATATGCTCCGAAGCAGAAGCAGATTTCTCAAAAATCAAGGATAGAGGTTCTTTATTATTATCACCCTTCTTCTCTCCTAAATAGGGTAATCATTGCAGAGGTCACTAGACAGGGTCAAAACAGAACCAGAGGGGAACTCAAACGCCATGTCAGTGAGGCTTCTGCCAACAATCTTATTTCTAAATTTCAACTCCTGCATCCCTTGCCTTGTTTTACTTTTTCTGTTTCCCTTAGCACATATTACCTTCCAACTCACTATGTATTTTTTTCATTTATTGTGTTTATTGTGTATTTTCCATCTTCTCATGCTAGAATGTAATGCACTGGGTCAGGATGTTTATCAAGGATCATTAACATACCCAAAAGACCTATACAGGAGTCTTTAAATGACTGTTCTGTTTCACCTCCGGGTATAACACCTGAAGGTAACTTGGGATTGTTAACCATTTTGGGTGAGGGTAACCATTTTGGAATGCGAGAGGTTTCTATTGCCAGTGAAAATTATTGTCATAGCATGCAAATGTAAGAACGTTACATAGTTACATTATTATTTATGACCTTGGTTGGTTGGTTGGTTGGTTGATTTGTTTATTTATTTATTTGTTTGTTTATTTATTTATTTATTTATTTATTTCACTGGCAATAGAAACCTCTCGCATTCCAAAGTTTGAGAAATATTTAGAATAACTGAAATGAAATATTAGCTGTGTACACTGGCATTTGCAAAGCACTCCTTGGCATTTTGCTGCATCCGAATTTTATACGAGAAATTGACTGGGAACTTTAAGTGAACCAATTTTAAAGTGATAAATCATTTTTTTCCCCGAAGTGAAGTATGTACCTGGGAGTATGAGATCAGTATCCCAGTGCTCACTGCAGGAGTAACTTTAGAGTAACTAAACCGTTACAGTTATTTCTGAAGCTAGAGACTTACCTTTCTCCTTGCAATACTTGATGATATACTAGCATCAGATGCTGTCTTGATTCTACTCCGGAGGTGGCTGTATTTCTATCTGAGAACTGTTTAGCAGTCTTTGATTGACTACACATAGGATCTGGAGGATTGTTTATTGCATACATTCATTTTCTAGTAGTTTCCACTACGATTGGCTGTTCAAGTAATACTTCTATTGGAGTCAATGACTTCATATCTTCTCTTTCTTGGTCCTTTTTGTAACATGGCTACAGCATGACTTAGCATTCCAAGAAAACATTTCATTTCCCAAGGGATTTCCTGTTTCCTCCTACTTATGTGGCAACCATATTCAAAACAAACATTTCATCAAGACTCTGACACCTTGCCAATTTAGGTCAGGACAGGCATTCATGTTTTAATCAACAAAATTTAAAAGAGAAAGAAAGAAAAAGAAGAAAGAAAGAAAGAAAGAAAGAGAGAGAGAGAGAGAGAGAGAGAGAGAAAGAAAGAAAGAAAGAAAGAAAGAAAGAAAGAAAGGCTTAACCTGCCCCAGAGATTTGTTGTATATCTACTTTTTTAAAACACAACTTCTTAAAGAGTTTATTTATTTGTTTATTTGAGAGAGAGACAGACAGAGCACGAGCAGAGGGTGGGGCAAAGGGAGTGGGAAAGAGACAAGCAGACTCCCTGCTGAGCATGGAGCCTGATGCAGGGCTCAATCCCAGGGCCCTGAGATCATGACCTGAGCCAAAGGCAGACACTTAACTTACTGAGCCACCCAGGCACCCTTAAAACACAACTTTCAGTTACTCCAGAATTACAGGTTATAGGAGAAATATATTAGTCTAATAACTACCATAATGATATTTTTTTCAATGGAGTTGCAATTTGTACAGTGTTTTCAGTGCTAATATCGATGAAAGAAATTAATTTTGTGTTTATGACCATGAAATATGACAATTCAGAAGGTGTATTGATGGCATAATTGTTTCTCTAAAATTAAAAAGTTATCTAGCTCATTAAATCTAATGAATCAGTATAAATGAATATTTCCACATATAATTATAATAGAAAGGACAAAGAAAGAGAGTAAAAAAAAATAAACGATGGTATTTTACCTACCTCCACATCTACCTTCCTTTCCTTACCCTACATTCTTTTATTGTTTTGTATTATTTCTTTTTTTTATGATGTTTACCATAATACTGGATTTGCTTCATTAAAGTTTTTTGTGATTCTCTGTCTCTTCTGTGTGTGTTCTTCTGGTGAGTGTTAAGGAGACAGAGAGACAAGAGGGATTTGACCTAGATATGGAATGCTCAGTTTCAAAGAACAGGGCCAGTAGGAGGGAATCCTCCCATGTCTCATGATTTGAGAGCAGATTTGAAAGTGACAGGAGTGCAAGGAAGTTTTATGGTACTCAGAAATAACCATTTTTGCTTATTGTGTGAAATTTTCTTGTTCTTTTTTTCTTTTTATGTTATGTTAGTTGCCATACAATACATCATTAGTTTTTGATGTAGTGATCCACGATCCATTGTTTTCGTATAACACCCAGTGCTCCATGCAGTACGTGCCCTCCTTAATACCCATCACCAGGCTAACCCATCCCCCCTCCCTCTCCCCTCTAAAACCCTGTTTGTTTCTCAGAGTCCATAGTCTCTCATGATTCATCTCTCCCTCCAATTCCCCTCCCCTCCTTTTTCCCTTCCTTCTCCTAGTGTCCTCCATGCTATTCCTTATGTTCCACAAATAAGTGAAACCATATGATAATTGACTTTCTCTGCTTGGCTTATTTCACTTAGCATAATCTCCTCCAGTCCCATCCATGTTGATGTAAAAGTTGGGTATTCATCCCTTCTGATGGCTGAGTAATATTCCATTGTATATATGGACCACATCTTCTTTATCCCTTCATCTGTTGAAGGGCATCTCGGCTCTTTCCACAGTTTGGCTATTGCGGACATTGCTGCTATGAACACTGGGGTGCATATGGCCCTTCTTTTCACTACATCTGTGTCTTTGGGGTAAATACCGAGGAGTGAAATTGCTGGGTCATAGGGTAGCTCTATTTTTAAATTTTGGGGGAACCTCCACACTGTTTTCCAAAGTGGCTGTACCAACTTGCATTCCCACCAACAGTTCTTGTTCTATTTGATAATGTGATTGAACCTACTTCAAGGACCTAAAATGTACATCAGATGCATTGGTACAGATCCTGTCAGGCTCTCCAAAACATCATCTGGTGAGAGTGTCAAATGAGCAAAATAACTGTGTTCCCAAGAACAACTAAATATTGTCCATGAGCGGGGAAGGTGATGTAATTTCTGCAATGTGAGTGAGGGGAATGTAGCAATGCCAGTATGCCTCAGAGTCGGCTTGGGCACTGACATAAACTGAGGAGAATATTAATTTGATGTTGGCCTTGTCCAGTTTATTTGCATTTTGCTAAACCACCAAGTAGGAATATCAGATAAACTAGTATATGCATGGGAATGGATATCAGATGAAAGCTTCTGCTGGGAATACACCTATTCATGGTCTTCAAAGTAATAAAAGTGTATGATTTAATAGAGGTATTGCTTTCCATGTATCTAGCGTTGAAGCTTGTAATTCATCTTAGTACATCAACACATTTCTCTAAGACTCAACTTTTTTCATTTTGACATCTTTGGAATTATATGATTTGTACATACACACACACATATATGCAGTACATCTTCTTTTCCATGTCATAGTAAAATCAAGGAAATATAGTCATATCTTTTATATTTCAAGTTGATACAGCTTTAAATCCCCATTTAAAAAAAATTAGCTCCCCAAACTAAATATTTGAGGATAAGTTTTTTAGGTGACAAAGACCTTCCCATTGTCCATACTTTATGGCATGTAGAATTCAAAAATTGCAAGCAAAAGGTAGAAATGTTGCCTAGGCAAGAAACAGACTGAGTCACTGAAATAGATTCCACCCCTCTCTCTCTCTCTCTCTTTTTCAGAGGCTCAAAGCTATTGTGACACCTCTCTAATTGAAATAGTTCCAAGCAAGGTCAAAAGGCTGGGAATTCATTTACAAGTGGTTTTGAGAGAGTGAAGAGGCTGGAGGACAAAGGAAATGTTTTTTACTACACTCAAGTTTCTAGCTTTAGTCACTGGGTGAATGATGCCATTAAATGATATAGAGAATGACAGAGGAGCCAAATGAGAAATTGAGAATGGAGGGTAATTCAACCTGAAAATTTCAAATTCAAATGAAAGATGAAAGTTGATATTTATGATAAACTGCTGTAGAGTTAGATCTAGAAAGTAGCAGATAATTTTTGACCCTCTATCCTTTTGAAGAAGCATGCAGTTAAGAGTTCACAAGTGCTTTTAGAACAAATTTTAGAAATATGTACATATCCTTTAGTTATACACTATGATTACATCTTTTAAAGATTTATTTGAGAGAGAGAGGGCGAGCATGATTGGGGGTTGGGCAGAGGGAGAGGGAGAGAATCTCAACAGACTCCTTGCTGAGCACAGAGCCCCATGGGGGGCTTGATCTCACCACCCTGAGATCATGACCTGAACCAAAATCAAGAGTCAGACACCCAATAGACTGAGCCACCCAGGTGCCCTGACTATGATTACATTTTTAAATTTTTTGTATTTTAAAAAATTTTTAAGCAGGTTCCATGTCCAATGTGAGGCTCAAACTCACAACCCCGAGATCAAGAGTCACATGCTCTACCAACTGAGCCAGCCAGGCGCCCCTACAATTGTATTTCTATCAATAAAATCATGTCTTAAGGGCTAGATCTGTACTACCCAGTATTTTGGAATTTCTTAGTCTTTACATTTTAGATGTGCGCTTCAAATCTGATAAGGCTGCCCTTCAGTTAGAGAATCTGTTCCACTTGCATTTAACTAAACTCTTATTTGGCCATGAATTCACCTTTCTTCCTCCTCATCTCGCCTTTCTCTTCTGTTCTGTTTTTTCTCTGACTGCTCTTGTTTTGATCATTTTTCATTATTCTCTTTTACTCTCCTGTTAGCCTGGTAGATTTACAAACTTTGAAAGATTGCAAGATTCTTTCATTATGCTTTTTAATGATTACCCAGAAATTATAACACACATCCTTGACTTATCAAAGTTTAATTTATGACTTCCAGAGCAGGCAGTGACCTTTAACCTCTTTTATTTTTTTAAAGATTTATTTATTTATTTGAGAGCGAGAGAACATATGCACAAGGAGGGGGAGGGGCTAAGGGAGAGGGAGAGAGAATTTCAAGCAGACTCTGCGCTGAGCATGGAGCCCAAAGCGAGGCTCAGTATCATGACCCTGAGACCATGACCTGAGCCGAAACCAAGAGTCAGATGCCTAATCAACTGAGCCACCCAGGTGCCCCAGTGATTTTTAACCTCCTTAATTCCATTTGTCCTCGTCCTGATTTATAGTCTATCTTTGTTGTGTGGTTGAATCCTCTTTATTTTAATCCCCACAAGTCATTGTCAACTAGTTTTTAATAGACAATATTCGTTTATATTTACTGATGTATTTGCCATTCCAATGCTCTTCTTTAAAACTTTCATCTTCAACCTTTTGTTGGTTATTATTTTTCTTCCCTCTTAAAAAAAATGTAGTTCTTTAATGTAGCTCTGCTTAATGACAAATCCTATACAATTTTGTTTTCCTGAAAACATCCCTTTTTTAATTTTCACTTTTCAAATGATATTTTGATGGGTGTAGAATTCTCAGCTGGCAGATATCTGCTTTCCATCCTTTGAAGATGTCATTCTGTTGTCTTCTAACTTCCCCTGCTTCTGGAAGGAAGTCTGTGTGGTCTTCCTGTTGTGCCTTTGAAGTTACTGTGCCTTTTTTCTCTAGCTTCTTTTAAGAGTTCTTAAAGCAGACATATTTTACACATCTTGAGTACGTGCTTTCTGGTTAATAATTAATTTGGGGGAGAGTAAAACAAAGCCTTTTAGTTGATTCTTAGCAATAGTCTTTCCTGTTTTCAGTAAATGAAAGAGATCAACCTACAGTCATGATATACCCTTGACGTACCAGGCTGGTTTCTAACAGCACTGTTCACTGTTTTCCCGGTCACCAGACCATATGTATTTTCTATTCTTTTTTTTAATCTTATTTACAAAAGGAGTTTATGCAGAAGTGTTATATCATTATTCATATCAACATTATTTCATTATATCATTATTTATATCATCA